GCTGATCCTTCAGTGACGAGGTCAGGGAAGATATGCTTCCAAGCATCTTCTTTAATGCCCTGTCTTGACCAGGGCAGCTCTTCCTACTGGGTTGTGGTGTCCCCAACCCTGCATCCCCTTCACCAAGCTCTCCTGTTTTTGGTCGCAAATGATGCAGTCTCTTTGAATTTGGAGGGACATTCTTATCCCAGCAGTTCTGCAAGATATGCTTAGGGACCCAGGGCTCCTGATGCTGTTCCATGCTGACTGGTGTGTTGTCCAAATGTGCATGCATAACCTGAGAACCTGCCATGTTCCCATTGCAGACACCCTGGGCACTAGTCAGCAAGGTTTTGGAAATCAAGTTATCTGAGGCATCAGCCGTATCTGTGAACTGGCCTTGAACAGGGCTATGATCCCTGTTCTCCAATTTCGACTTTAATTCACTCAGCAAGTGCTTTCTAAAGTCTGATAGTTTAGGATCCTGGGAAACTGATGTTGGTGAGGGAATTTCAGTAGCCAGGGTAGTTTTTTCTTTCTTTGTTTTCTCATCTACTGCTGCAGAGTCCCCTGACTTGCTGGTTGTCAAAGCATTGGCAGATTTTGATCGAAGAGCAAGGAGCTCCTTTGCCTTAAATATCTCTCTAGACTTGTTAAACCTTGGGAAGTATTCTGAAGTCTTTACTTTGGGAGCCTGAAGCCTTTCTTTGTTGCTGGAACTCACTCTCTTATCCTTTGGCTCAGGTCCAGTCCCATCATGACTTGTGGACACCAGCACTGGGCTGTGTCTATTGTCTGGTCCAGTCTCTTTCTTAATTTTTTTGTCTGTGATGCACGGACAACTCTGTCTGCCATAAAGCTCCTGTTTTCCCTTTGGGGACAGTGGTCTCAGGTCCCCCTGTCCTCCCTTCCCAACAGGTGATTCAGCAGGAAGGAGATGATCCAGATTGGGTGCTGACTTTCTCATCTTCAATTTGTCTCTACACAAAGCTGTAGAGCTCCTACCGAGTGACCTGGATACCATAACTTTGGAATGCATCCCAGAACTAAGGCGATCTTGGGAGGAACAACAGGAATGGCCTAAGGAAGAAGATGAGTCCTCTCTCTTGCTGAAGATCTGTATGGATTCAAGGACCCTGGTGGGAAGGCCATACTTCATCCTTATGTAGAAACTGCTTATATGGTCTTCCAGCATCTTTAGTTTGCCAGAAGCCAAGAAATAAATCTCCTGGGAAGTGTTTAAGTTAAAGTTTCTCACAGATGATGCCCCATCTATCTGTTTTTCACTGTGAGATTTCTCAGCAAAAGATATTGTCTGCTTAAGGGCATGCCATGAACTATGAACAGTCTCAGGAAGTCTACCCTCTTTTATTTCTTCACTTTTCTTATTTAAATGTTCTTTGAGTGCATTTTCTAGTTGTTTCTGATTTATACTTATCCCTGAGGCCCTTGAATCATTGCCATACAGACTCACTGTATGACTTCCTTGATCTTTCTCAGAGTCAGACCCTAAACTCTTATCTGAGTATCCTTCTGGGTCACTCAATAGATGATCACTAGGGCCATTCTTTGGGCTGTGTCTCTGATGGTCCTTCTCTTGGTTATCTGACTGAAACTCTTCTGAGCTTGTCTCATCGGAGATTGGAAGTTGGCTCGATTCAGAATTCCTTAAATTGTTGCTACTCTGTTCCTTCAACAAAGATATCCATTTGAGTCTGTGAAGACTCTTTGATGCATGTATTTTAGGAACATCTCTCTCAGGATTAATCAGTGTCAGAGACTCATTGACCCTGCGGGGTAGGCCCCATCGGTGTTGAATGAGTCTCTTTCTAAGGTGGTACTCAAATTTCTTACGAAGCTCACTGCTCAGAGGGTAATCTCCAGGAATGATGGAGATTGGAACATGGATTTTGGAGGACTGGCTCACCAATGAAACATTGGGAGGGGGAGGACAAAGGTATTCCCGAGATGTTTTGACCACAGAGGGTAAACCCCACAAACATTCCTGTTTTTTCTGTAGCACATTGTATTCTAGCTGATGAAGGTCAGATTGCATGAGACACTGTGCCTCATTATGGGGTCTATGGAAGCACACTCCACAGATCCTAAGCTGGAAATCGGGAGATGTTGGTAACATTGGGATTGGAGATTGAAGGTTGGACTGAGACTGTGCAGGAGTAGCATGTTGTGACTGTGATTGGGAGACAGTTTTAGTTGAGGATTGAGTTTGGATCTCAGGCAAGATCAGAGGTTGGAAATTGGAAAGTCCTAAAGATCCTTGAGATGTGGAAGCTTTGGAGATTCCATTAAAGATGACCAAAGTAGAGAGACAGTCATCTGAATGACGGATAATTGAGCACAAGGACTCACTGTGCAAAGACGGAAGACCCCAAAAGTATTGCTGGTTCATCTGCAGCTCCTCTGGTTTGCCTTTGCTGTTTCCAAAATAAAGAGAGACTGCTGAGTCATGCTTATCAGCATCTGACTCTACCATTGGCTCTGATATATACAGTTGGTGGTCTGGACTGACTGCTGACTCATGTCTATCAGCACTTGACTCGGAAGTATTCAGTTGGTGGTCTGAACTAAGTTGTTTTAGAAATGGTTGCATTTTATTTTCCCTTTCTTTCTGGATCAGGAAGTCACCCCTCTTTCTTACTTGTTTCTCCAAGAGTGCCAGATTGTCATGGCTGAGTAACAAGCAGTTAGTGGGTTCTACAAAGTTGGATGCACATTCTGTGCAAGAGGTCTCAGAAGATTGGCCATCAACAAGCTCATGCTTGATACTATCTTGTTCTACATTGGAAGAGGACAAGTCTTTGGCATCCTTGACCTCGTCCTGCTGCCAGGATGATTCTGGCATTGAATGGTCAATTTCACTGACTGTTGGAATATCAGTTGACAACCCATCAGGGCTATTCATTACAGACAGAGCAATCTCTGGATGCAGATCATGATCTGATCTCTGAGATTGATGTAGTGTGGGAGGGCAAAGAGCAACAGGTTGGGGTGGGAAAGGGTCCACTGGGAGTTTTGAAGCCAAGGGAGGAATAGGCTCTGATGGTACTGAGTCAGCTGGTGGGTCGGGGGACAGTAAATCAGGTAAAGAAGCAACATGGTTAAGTGAGACAGTAGAAGGGGGAGGTGGAGATGGCACATGCAAAGAGGCTGACTTTTGGCCTCTTGGATGAGTTTTTGAGTGGCCAGATGTCACAGTCAATGAGGTCTTAATCACAGAAGCTGAGGAAGCCATATAATGCACAGAGGAAGTATCATCTATCAGTTTCCCCAGCGACAGCAGTCGACTGACTTTGGCAGCCACTCTGTTACACACCGTACAGTGAGGGTCTGGACACAGCAGGTGACGGAAACTGGTGATATCTTGATGTTGGCTCTGGGGTCTACAGGAAACAGGAAGAAAAGGCTGTGGTCAAGACCAGAACATGGAAAGGAGGTTCTGCCGGCCTAGTGGGGATAGGGATAGCCCAAGCCTACTGTTCCCATCACCTCACATTTGTGATGTCACACTAACTCTGTAGCCCCTCCCTGAGGCTTTTATCACATTCCGTTCCTATGGCTACCTGCCTCACATCATAATGGCAGGCTTCACTGATCCCTGGAATATATGGAACATGTTTAAAAAAAAAGGGGGACCAGGAAAAAAGAGGAAAGATTAATCACCTTTTCAAAACAGAAAGAAGCTTCCATCCCTCCTCTGCTTCTTTCTTGTTAATCCTTGAACCTGGGACATCAGGAAAGTAGAACATATGTAATGAAAGTAGAAGCAATAAGAATCATATAGGAATCCCTCTATGAGAGCCCCTGGGGATACTAAATTCTGAATGCTCCAAGAATCAGTAGTTATGGAAAGATTGTCAATGATAATATTAATAACACATGTGTATGTGGCAATATTTATAAAGCACTCAGTGAAGAATGTGCATACCCGAGAAGTTAAAGGGCATCTATAAAGGCAGGGGACTGAAGTTCTGACTACAAGACACTAGTAGTCCATACTTATTTCTCACCTCATCACATTTTGGGCAGTACCTGTTGTCCATGCATCTCAGATTCCTGCCCACAGATGGGCTAAGGAAGAACTCTGAGAAATGTCTCAGGTATGACTGTCTTTTCCAGGAGTTTCTCCTCTGAGTATTCTGTTTTCGCAGACAGACTGTATATAGCAACTGACATTCTCAGAGGCCCTGGATCTAAAACAGGAAGGATCACCCTTGCAAAGATCAATGTGAACAGAGAATCTTACCTCTAAATGTTCCACCTTTCCGCCGCCTCTTGGCTGTACCCCGACACTGAGAACAAAAAGTAAAGAATGAGAGACTAGTTTCACTTCTCTTCCTCTTTTTACCACCCCAAATGTCTCTTCATTTTAAATTATAAACATGTATTACTTACATTACTAATATTTACAGGTGATCCAATATTTTTATTTTTTCCTTCTTTAAAAAGAAAATTTTGTCTATGGGATGCAGAGTTTCAGTGAAATGTCCATGCTCAAAAAGGCACAGAATCTGAGTCCAACTGTTCCATCTGTAATCCCTCAGATAAACATGTCCTTTGGGGACAGAACTCGGGCTCCAGCCTCTTTCAGACACTTAGCATTGCTCTCCTGCTCAGCTCAACAGAAAGGAAGGCTTGATGGAGGGACACCTGACATGGGAATGAGACTCATGGTCAAGTGTGAGGAGGAATGACCTCCGTCAGAGAAGCCAAATTCTCTAGTGAAGCCATAACAGGACTGCAGCAGAGTGTTGGATTTTATCCTAGAAACCTCCACCATACCAGACAGGTGGTCTGTGAGCTTCACTTGTAAGCCTTTGTTCCCCCCAAACCCATCCCTGCCTAGCCTCTGCCCCAAAGGAAGGTGGTGCTGTGTCCTTCCTCAGACTTCCCATCTCTGGCTTCTCTCTGAGGAAACCAAACTCGTTTAGATATGAGAGAACAGAAATGGGAAACAACAGCAACATCAACATCCTTCTTGGAGTTCACCCGTGGTTCCTTACCTTTTCGGTGGTCTTCTTTTTCCAGATGGTTGTGAAAAATAGCTTTAATACCAGGTAGCTCAGGTACAAAAAGATCAACCACAACCCACTAATAAGAGTGTAGTTGAGGCTGCTATCAATAAAAATAGAGCTGAAGCTCAGCCACAGCTCAGAATGGCTCTTCAAAAATGAGAGGACGTACTCCATCCATTATCTGAATCGCAATGCTGCTGAGAGACAACTGAGGGTTGAGGGTTCAAGCCCTTGACTATATAGTTCCAGCTCTGCATCACAGATTATGAGTCACAAAGGGAATCTGAGGCTAGAGAGGATGACATCATGATGTGCCCACAGCCCCGCCCCTTCCTAGAGCCCAGTAGATCTGCTTGCCCAGCCCTTTCACTCTATCTTCAAACTCCATGCTTTCCCCTATCCTATGTCAAATTTCTATCTATAATTCACATGTGACCTGAGTCCATTTTACTATTAGGTGCCCTTGACTTAAAGCTCACCAATTCCACAGCCTTGAAAGTCTGAATTTTTGCTTGTACCCAGACATGTATACTCTTAAGATCACATATATCACCGAATCCACCTGCTATACTGCTTTTGCCTTACACCAACCCAGATTCAAAATTTAGGTTCATTTTACTTGTTTAGTCTTATGAATGCTAAGTACTATTTTGTTTGTTTCAGCCTTTACTGTCTTCAGAGGGGCTCATAATTCAACAGGCACAAAACACATAAGTGTAAAATAAATATATATAATGACTTCAAGCAATGTTGGACTATATTTAGCACTTATTTTTCTGGTTAGTATAGCTTAAACTGTATGAAGACATTTATTTATATATTTACTTCAGAGGCAGAGTTACAGAGAGAAAGGAAGAGACAGAGAGGGGTCTTGTACCCACTGGTTAACTCACCACATGGACACAACAGCCAGAGCTGGGTCTATTGAAATCCAGGAGCATGGGGCTTCTTCTAGGTCTCCTATGTGGGTGCAGGGGACCAAGCACTTGGGCCATCTTTCACTGATTTCCCAGGCCATTAGCAGAGAGCTGGATGGGAGGAGGAACAGCTGAGACACAAACCAGTGCCCATGTGGGATGCTGGCACCACAGGCGAAGGCTTAACCTACTACACCACAGCACCAGTCCTGAATGAAGACTTTTGAGACATGCTCTATATACAAATAATCCTTTGACTAATCAACCCAGTATTTTAAAAACTAAAATCTTTTCAAACTTTATTTCAAGCTTCAATTTGTTGTTTTAAGGCCACTTCTAACTCTATCTAAAGTACAGATAAGCTGGGCCTCAAGATCAATAGATGTGTGACTCCTTCAAACCAAGGAAGGGTAACAGTGCGCTAAACAATTGATCCCCTCAGTCCTTGGTGGCAGACTGGGACTTAGGAGAGTCAGGTTATTGGAACAGAATCTAATCTTTGCAGACTATCCTGATTACTTTTTTTTCATTTTTTAAGATTTATTTATTTATTTGAAAGGCAAAGTTACAGAGAGGCAGAGGCAGAGAGAGAAGTCTTCCATCAGCCAGTTCACTCCCCAAATGGCTGCCACAGCTGGAGCTGGGGCAATCCGAAGCCAGGAGCCAGAAGGCCCCTCAAGGCCTCCCATGCAGGTGCAGGTTCAGGGGCCCAAGGACTTGGGCCATCCTCCACTCCTTTCCCAGGCCATAGCAGAGAGTTGGATCAGAAGAAGAGCAATTGGGATTCAAACTGATGCTCATATGGGATGCTGGCACTGCATGTTTTGGCTTTACCTGCTATGCCACATTGCCAGTCCCCATCCTGATCACTTTTGTGGACCAAGTAAAAGTGATCTTACAGTGCCTTGCCAATGTGGGAGTGGGCAGGGGATGGTTTAGAAGGTGTGCTCTATATAAGCACCCTACAAATGTCTAAAATACACTTCTTGTAACAATTTATTCAGGCTTCTGTTGTCAGGTTTAAATCACTCCAAATCCACGCACCTACCCCCACCCATTTTCCTATGCATTTACTCAGATCTTGTCATGACAGCTGTGCTCTGAAGTGCCTCCTAATTACTCCTGTCTTTCTTAAACTGTGAAGCCTTTGAATGGATGCCTATGGCCCAACTCTGTTACTTGATGTCTTTGGAAGAGGGAAGGTTGAACAGCCATTTCTGCTATCTAGTTGATACATCTGGACACCAAGAGGCCAAAACTTCCTTCCCTATTAGAAGTAAGGCCCTCCCTTGCATCCCTACATTTCCAGGGAGAGTGGGCCAATGTTAGCCATGTTTAGGGGGCAGCCAAATCACTCACTGTGTATTTAGGACTTGAGAGACATTGCAAGCTCTCTATTCCGGGACAACTAGTAGCCATGAGGAATGCAAGATTAAAATGCAACTGGTTTTGTTTCCTGGTAAATGAACATGACTTCTGTTAGCCAGATGGGACCTGTTATTAGATACATTGTGAAGTCCACCCTCACTGCAGGGGTCAGCTTTGAGAAATACAAATGCTGAGATTTCTCAGCACTAGCATCTGCAGATACTTGGATGCTGGCACTGTCCTGAGGCATAGACTCCAGATATGGGGTTAAACTCCCCCTCTGGTTTGCATACCCTTGGTGTGGCAGTGTAAGCCCCTAAAGATGTTCAGGGCACTGGAGCATCAGGAGGGTTTAAGCAAAACCCTGATGGCTGGTGTTAGCTTTATACTGGTTTCTATCACCCTGGAACTTAGCCTCCAGGAATGAGGTACAATGCCCCTAGAGGTCCAAATCTCTGTGGTGGTGGTGGTTGCTGGGAAAATGTCCCAAACATATACATAATTGCCACTAGGTGGACTAGCACCTAAGTGGTGTCAGTGCCCTCTAGTTTGCCAGTTATACTAAGTATTGTGGTTAGGAAAAATTAAGGAGCATTGGGTGATGATAAAATACTCAGGATTTAAATCAACCTGCAGGAGAGCCACCAACTGGCCTGGAACAGAGAAAGCAATCTTGGGATATAAAAAGGAGACTCGGGGATGCCAGTTCTCTAACACAAGGCATTTAAGTTGGATGCTTAAGCATAACTGGGCTCACAGAGAGCCATGTCTACTTTTGTCTTTTCAGGTTCTACAGAGACTTTTGAGCTGTGTATAGTACAGTGCCCATTCCTATGAACTTATTCCTTAAGGTACATTTTCAAAAACTGGCTATGGGAGCTCAAACTCCATGAGGAAATTGATAAAAATAGCATTTTGAGTGTTTGACAATAGAGATAGGATTGAAGCAAAAAGGATACTACAACATGGAAAACAGTGCAAATAGCACATTCATAGGACGGCAATAGCTACAAACTAACATGTAGCAAGCTCAGACTCAGTCCAGGGGACATCCTGCCAGGGCAAAAGAGACTTACATGTGGGAAGCCAGGAATGCTCCCAAAGGCTTCCCAATGGGAAATAATTAAGGAAGTGTATGACTTTGCCCATTTGGAGAGAGGAAACCTGATGTAAATAGTTTCTTGGATATCTGGAGGGAAAGGACTGCATGCTGTTATAATGAAGTAATGTGTTCCTATACCATCTGTTTCCCAAATAACTCTGGTGGTCATATCAAGCTACCCTCCTTACTAACCCTATTCCAAGGAGAAAGTATCCAGGTGAAGACTGGCAGATAGACTCCACTAACATGCCTTCAGCAAATAATTACAAATATCTACTGATCTTTATAGATACTTCCACAAGATGGATAGAAGTTTTTCCTATTCAAATAGAATAGGCACAAGAAGTGTCCAAAGCCATGTTAAAGGAAATAGTTACTTGCTTTGGCCTTCCAGGGCCACTCCAGTATGACAGTCGCCCCTTATTTGTGGCTAAAGTTATTCAGCAGGTAGCTACAGATTTAGGGGTCTCATTATCTCCATGCCTCTTGGATACCTCACTCATCAGGTAAAATCAAAAAGGATCATCATAATCTTAAGAAAAGAAGGAGGTACCTTTCTCTGAAGGGAGGAGAGAACTTCCACTTTGACTACGACCTTGTTTACATATGATCAGAGTTGGTGAACTCAAAAGGCTTCCATAGCCTTGGCAGCTCATGACAAGAGCCTAGGGTGATTACTGATGCCATAAACTGTGGGGAGCAACTGAGACTAGACTAAGTTACTGGAATTAAGACTTATTCTATGCATCTGCTCTCCCACAATATGGCGCTGAGAGAGAGAGACCAAACAACTTCTACGCAGCTGCCTCATCAGTTTGACGAGCTGCAGGAGCTGATCCTGCTCCTGATTGGAGGAGAGCAGCGTACTCGGCGTGTGGGTAGCAGAGTTGGGATTGGTGGAAGAGAACTATAAAGGAGGAGAGAGACAACATGCACCAGGAACATCTGAAGGAACACCTGAGGAACATCTGAGCAGCCCCCGAGAGAGCCGGCCGGCGGTGTGCCGATCCTCCGTGGAAGCGGGGAAAGCGGCGGGGGGTGCCGCCCCTCCACGGAGGTGGAGGGGCCGGCAGCTAACCCAGGACGGCGTTGTTCCTCTGCAAGTGAGGGACCGGCAGCTAACCCGGGAAGGGCCGAGCAGACAAAAGAACAGCGCAGGGTTTCGTGTCGTTCCTCCGCGAATGGGGGAGCGACAATAAACAAGAGTGTCAATTTGTTAAGTCAACAACAGGAGTCACTGTGCACTTACTCCTCATGTAGGATCTCTGTCCTTAATGTGCTGTACATTGTGATTTAATGCTATAACTAGTACTCAAGCAGTATTGTTCACTTTGTGTTTCTATGTGGGTGCAAACTGTTGAAATCTTTACTTAATATATGCTAAACTGATCTTCTGTATATAAAGAGAATTGAAAATGATTCTTGATATGAATGGAAGGGAAGAGGGAGAGGGAAAGGGGAGGGTTGTGGGTGGGAGGGAAGTTATGGGGGGGGGAGCCATTGTAATCCATAAGCTGTACTTTGGAAATTTATATTCATTAAATAAAAGTCAAAAAAAAAAGAATATTCTGGCTAAGTTTTGCCAAGAAACCTTAGGAACATGGCTTAAATGATTGCCTATTGCCCTCCTCAGGATAACAATGGCAGCTAAGGCTGTTTTAAAGCTTAACCATTTGAAATGCTATATGGAAGACATTTCCTCACTTCTGAGATCCTCTTTGATTCAGAAACTCAAGATAAGATATATTATTGGCTGGTGCCATGGCTCACTAGGCTAAACCTCCACCTGCAGTACCAGCACACTGGGTTCTAGTCCCGGTCAGGGTGCCGGATTCTGTCCCAGTTGCCCCTCTTCCAGTCCAGCTCTCTGCTGTGGCCCGGGAAGGCAGTGGAGGATGGCCCAATTGCTTGGGCCCTGCACCCCATGGGAGACCAGGAGAAGCACCTGGCTCCTGGCTTCGGATCAGCGCAGTGCAAAGGCTGCAGCATGCCGGCTGCAGTGGCCATTGGAGGGTGAACCAACAGAAAAGGAAGACCGTTCTCTCTGTCTCTCTCTTTCTCACTGTCCACTCTGTCTGTCAAAAAAATTTTAAAAAAGATATATTATTAATTTAGCTAAGTTACAAAAGGCTCTTATGGAGTATGACAACAAAATTTTTCCAGTGCCAAATCCCAAAATTATCCACAGCCTGTTTCCCCAGGAGACTTAGTCTTATTAAAAACTTGGAGAGAAGGCTCTTCCTCTGACCCTTTATAGCATAAATAGGAGGGACTTACTAGGTGCTACTGAGCCCTCCTACTACTGTTAAGTGACAGGGAATTCTAAGCTGGGTACATTTGTTAAGAATTACTAAATCTTTACCTCTTGAATCTACCCAGATATACAGAAGTTTGCCTACTCTTGAAAACTAATTGAATACCCCAAATACCTTTTCAAAAAGCAAAAAGGTAAGTAAAGTCTTTGCTTTTGTCATGTCAAAACTGTTGTTCTTTATGGTAGACATATTTAACCTACCTCTTTTTCTGATACTCGCAGGAAACTGCTACTGGCAGAAAAATTCCTCAATGAGGTTTTTCTATCATCATAGTAGACAATCCTGTTATATACCTCATGAAGCCATTTTTAAAAATCTGTCTATTGCTTGGGGCAACCTAGCCTTTATTTCAGACCTACTTTTACTCAAGTACTCAAGTACAGCAGGTACCAAGTCTGGATGCTCTAAGGTAGTTATGGACAACCTGCTAGCCTTAGAATATATACGGATGGAGCAATGAGGAGCATGTGTAGGGATGAATAGGCTGTCACATCTACTCTAACAGCACTACCATTTCACTATAAAAAATTACAAATCTTTATGCCCAGGCTTCATGAGATAATCTATCAGTACCATCTATTTGGAAAACAATAGAATATACTTTTCCTTTGTTAAATGGGATTCCACCTTCAATTTATCTTTTCAATTATGCTCATCCTGATTGAGAAACTTGTCTGTTTCATAATTCAACAGCTTCTCAGAGTAATGATGACCATGCAGAGGCCATAGTCATTGGTACTGAATAATGAAACCCTCTGGCTTGTGAAACAGATGTGTTAGATGAGATAGGTAGAGGTTTCTGAAGCCAGGGTAGGCAAGGAGAACAACTCTGATCAGCAGGAAGTACATACAGAAGACTGAATTTCATCCTTCAGTATACGCTTAAGATTAAGGGTCAGAAATCTCTGTGAGGCAAATGATATGGGACAGGCATGCAGCTAGTTAGGTCTGCAGAGTAGAAGTCAGAAGCCATGGCCTATTGCACCATGTACCCTCCTACTTGCCAGTCAAAATGCCCACCTTCCCATGTTGCATCTGCTGCCTTTGGGACCAGAGTTCTTACAACATAAAAAGTGGTAGGAAGCAGGAGAGACCTCTTTTTCCACCTGTACCTCACCTAGAGGTACTGCTCCCATATTTTTGGATTTCAGATGGAGATTTTCCACTCTCCTGACCTCCTATTCTCAGACAGATATTCCCAATTACAGATACTGCTTTCAGTTTTTCATTTCCCCCTACTTTATAAGAAACTTTTTAGGCCACAAAGTTGTGTGTTTTTCTCTGCAGGGCAGTCCACACTCAAGCATGAATGTATGTTTATTCCCTCACTGACAAAAAAATCTTCCTTGTGGCATACAATACCAAACAGACTGGGCTTAGTATTTCTATCTCTGCAGGAAGCAAGAACAAGGATTAAAAATTAGTAAATTCATTGCCACATCAGAATCAAAGTATTCAAGTGACTCTTCTAAGCCATTAAGAGCACAACAACTTTGAGCTGGACTAACCAGAGGCAGCTATTAAGCTGAGCCTAATTCCTTAGCTCTGCTCTTGGCACTGAGCTATGGAAACTCCAGAGTCCAGTAAGAGGTCTGAACAAAAAACATGTTCAAGTCAAATATCAGGGACTACAGTTTCTCATAAAAAGTACACTTTAGGAAGTTGTTTGTGGTTAACTTGCTAGGGTAGTTTTATGTAAAGGAAACCTGAGCAGTTAAGCAAATTGAGGCTTTCATTTCTCTTTGAAAACAAAAACACAATTAAAAATAAAATCTAGAAACATAATCTGGGGGACTGGTTCTGTGGTATAGTAGGTTAATCCACCACCTGTGATGGTGGCATCACTATGGGTGCTGGTTCGAGTCCCAGCTGCACCACTTCTGATCCAGCTCCCTGATAATGCACCTGGGAAAGCAGTGGAAGATGGCCCACACGCTTGGGCTACTGCACCCATGTGGGAGACCCGCAAGAAGCTCCTGGCTCCTGGCTTTGGATCAGCACAGCTCCGGCTGTTGCAGCCATTTGGGGAATTAACTAGCAGGTGGAAGACCTCTTTCCGTGTCTCTCCCTCTCTCTATAACTCTGCCTCTCAAATAAATAAATCTTTAAAAAAAATCTGGAAAATTACTTTGATTTTCTTCTAAATTATTTTCTGCAATTAAAGTTTTGCTGGAGAGCAGACAAAATTTTTGTTCTTGCTATTCACAAAGAACTAATACAAGCATGAGGAGGTAAGAGGTCTGACACACTCAGGACCAGAAGTGACTGGACAATCTTCTAATGTGACTGAGAAATCTAGTCTTGCTTTCTCATCTTCACAAATTTGAAACTGAAACCATTTCCCAATTATTTCCTTCCTTAATAGGCATGTGTATGTGTGTTTTCTCTCAGGGAGCTTGCAAACTCATTGTCAGCAGTTTTAGCATAATTTAGACATAATATAGCATTCTTCCCTTCAGGGCCATAAATCACTTTGTACCAAGGCAAGGTTACTCAACATGTCCCAAATTTTATCTAATGCAATTTTGCAACATGCAGTTTTTGCCTGAATAAACTTCACAATGAAATAGTGAAAATTTTATGTAAGCTTTGAAGAATCTAATAATATTAGGAAGAAAAAAATAGAAGAATTTATGAAAAAATTCTAAATGGAAAATACAAGTAATAAGCTTAGACCAAAGAATATATTTAAGTATATTATTATAAAGGTTTGGTAATTAAAATAAGGCACCACTGGGGAAAAAATACAGATATAAAACATAGAATAGGCAGCCTAGAAACTGATTTTGGTTCACATAAGAATTTCTGGAAAATGAAAGTTACATCACCAAAAATCAAGAATTAATTATTAAATTGTATAGGAATGACTGGGTAGGAATGTAAGGGAAATAAAATTAATTAGCCCCATCCATAATGAATAACAAAATAAATCCAAAATCCACCAAAATGTAAATATTTTAAAACCATCCTTTCCAGGGTAGGCATTTGGTGCAGCAGTTCAGACACTGCTTGAGAAAGCTGCATCTCATATAAGTTTTGGATTTGGGAGACTTGGACTGAATTCTCAGCTGCTCTCTATCCTGGCCCAGCACTGTCTATTGCAGGCATCTAAAGGTGAACCAGCAAATGGAAATTTCTCTCTCTCTCTCTCTCTCTCTTTCTCTCTCAATCTCTGCCTTTCAAATACAAATATTTGAAATTTCAAGTGTAAAATTATTTGAAATAAATAAAAATATCCTTTTCAAATGCCCACCCAAACACAAGATTTGATCTGTGACTTAAAAACCAAGAATGGGGGTATGGCAGTTGAGAAGTCTTCATCTCATATCAGAGTACTGGTTCACATCCTGACTATTCTGCTTTTGATGTAACTTCCTACTAATGCATCCTGGGAGGCAACAGATTATGGCTCAAGTACTGGGGTCCCTGCCACACATTTGGAAGGCCTGTATTGAATTCCAGTCTCCCAGGTTCATCCTGGCCTGGCCCTGGCTGTTTGAAGAGTGAAACAGCAGATGAAGGATATCTGTCTCTCTGTGTCATTCTGCATTTCAAGTAGATGAAAATAAATATTTTTAAAATCAGAATGACTTCCCAAACATAAAATTCTTTAAAGAAATTATATAGCAAAAGACTCTCTGCTTCAATTATATAAAATTTAAAACTTTTATTTGAAAAAATTGCCATAAGCAATTAAAGATAAAAAGAAATAACAGCTTGGACAAATTGCATTCAGAAATTATGTTTAAAAGTGTCTAAGAATGGATTATTTTATTAGTATAGCAAGCAGAACATTTTCACATTTATTATCAGTTGATGAATTATTTTCTACTCATGACTTATGTTCAAGTCATCACAAGTAATCTTCCTAAACCTGTTTGTATCATAAAATTTCAGGATTGTTACAGGAGTCAACTATGTCACTTAACATTCTGCTTCTTTACTCTCAGTCATTTCAGTTCTTTTCAAAACCATATCCACATGCCATTTATATCCAATATTTACTTAATAATTTTATTTAAATTAACTTAGCTTTACTAAATAAAATTACATTTCTTCTAATTAACAATTCCTATAAAATCATAGCTTTAAGTGAAAATTTAAATATATAATATTTAAAAACACTAACCTCTCTGCCATTGTAAAATCACCTACACTGTCATGATCAATTTTATGCTGTGGGAGGCTAAGCCTCCACCTGTGGTGCCAGCATCCCATATGGGCACCACTTCACATCCTAGCTGCTCTTCTTCCAATCCAGTTTCCTGCTAATGGCCTGGGAAAGCAGTGGAGGGTGGCCCAAGTACTTGGGCCCCTACACTCAGGTGGGAGGCCTGGAAGAAGCCCCTTGCTCCTGGCTTTGGATCAGCTCAGCTCTTGCCATTGAGGCCATCTGGAGAGTGAATCAGAGGATGGAAGACATTTCTCTCTGTTCCCCTCTCTGTCTATAACTCTACCTCTCAAATTTTATGCTGTCAATTTAGCTAGGCTGTGAGATCCAGGCATTTGGTTGGCCATCAACCAGTCTAGATGTTGCTGTGAAGGTACTTTTTAACTGTGTTTACAGTGTGAGTCAAGAATTTTTTTATAAAGCACATTATCCTCCATAATGTGGTAGGCCACATCCAATCAGTAGGGGATTTAAAAGAAAAGACTGAGCTCCCTTGAAGAGGAAGGACTTTTACCTTTAGATTCCAAACTGCATCATCAAAGCCTGTTGGGATTGCCAGCCTGCACTGCAGATTTTGGACCTGCCAGTGCCTTCCATAATTACATGAGCCAGTTCCTCCAATGTCATCTTGACCTGGGTGCTGGTGCTGGGCGTTACCTGGCTCCCCGCTCCTTTTTCAGGCTTCTTCCCTGTGACTTCCCAGTGCGCACCCTGCTGTACTCAATCTGGTCTCCTTACACTTGTGTCAGTGCTCTAGATGGTGCTGAGAATGCTTTGGCCTTCCAGGTCTCCCAGTTCCGCCTTCAAGACCTGGGTCTTATCAATGCAGAAGAGGAAGAAATTAAAGTGTGTTGGGGTGGGGGGAGACTGTCCCATTTAGAAATATGGAAAGCCAGATTTGGAGGCAGGATTCCATCTCATGTTCCAATTCTGACTAATTGGTGGCTACATGGAATATGTTT